ACAGTAAAAAATAACTTTGCTCTAGGGATGTATGCCCTGCATTTATTTCTTTTACTCAGACAGCAGTCTCCTGTGTTTCACTTCAGATGAAGCAAATACTACAAGATGGAACATGCTATGTGTCCTCAACATAACTGAAAACACTCCGAGAAATATTGCAAATACCACAAAAAGTGCCCAACCCAATGGATCGGCCTGCAGCTCGCATTAACAAAAACCGAAAAATCTGAGGAAAAAAGTATTTATTTCCTTTAGTGCTGAAATTAAAACTATTCTGTGCTTTACTGTTCTGCTCCAGAAAGGCATGGCTGGGCCCTTCACTCTGAACAGATAACCAATGCGGCCAAACCCCATATCTGAAAGGTCAGCAGGTGACTTTCAAAAACACAAGCCTATCCGCGGACAACGCAATTTATTACCACCACCACGAGCATCATTACTCACTGCTAGCCACACGCCAGACTGAAATAAAGCTGCTACTGTTTACAAATATAACTCAGTAACAATGTCAATTAATACAAACTGCTCACTCCAGTGCAATTAATCTCTGTGGTGGACAAAGAACAAGTCCTTTCTTTCCAAAAAAAAAATAGAATCTGAGGCTTCATCTGTACACAAGTCTGATTTCAAAAAGTATCTGATACACATAAAACACCACCTGTAACATCAGGCCTTGAGTCATCTCAAAACTAAACTGGAACACATTTAGAGTAGCACTTTTTTTACGCGCATGCTGCTGTTTCCCAAATTGTAGCATTTTTTCTTCTTTAACAATCAGCCTTTAGCCAATCAGATGCTACTTCCACATAAATTAACCCAAGACTAATGCAGATAGTCAGCTTCTAATTGCCAGTGCGTACATCACCCATATAGCATGGTACATGTGTAAATTGATGCACCCAATTCTCTTTTGGATGTGCTCTAATTTTCTAGGGTTGATCTTTAATTTTTGATAGCAATACTCACTGTAGTTGATATAAATTGAGAAAAAAAAACATTTTTGAAGAATTTGTGGGTGTCTGTGAAAATAAGGGTTGTTTGGGAGCCATCGGCAAAACATGGACTAAGATTATACTGTATACTGGTATTTTGTAAATTTCCGAGACTTGTTTCCCAAACCATCCAACAAAGGCAGTATGAGAGGTGCAATGAAGAGTCCATTGTTTTTTCACAGTGGAGGAAAAAAACACTATTTCAATCATCTCGATAGACAGAGAGTCCTAATCATTACTGCACTAGACTACCTCTATGGTATATGGTGCAATGATGGGTCAGATAGGGCAATAATGAGCATTACTAATCCATTATATTGTTTGAAAATCTGACAGGGCATTGATTCTGAGGAGCTGTTCTATAGAGTCGTATGGAGGAATGTTGAAACACTGTGTGTGTCCGCCAAGCATGTGGCAGACAGGTCTGACAGTTTTGAAGACAGACAGAAGTCTTGCTGCCCATTAATCTCATCTTAAACACCTTTTTCCATGGAAGAAAGAGTTGCTTGCAGCAAATCACTTTGCTGTAAGTTTCCATGTGAGACAAGTTTCCAATCAGTCAAAATGTGATTCTTGATAGGATGATCGATAATATTGAATGGCTATTTCTTGGTATTTAATCACAGATGTCATGTCTACTCTCTGTTATGCCTGATGAAGTGAAGGGGTTCAAAATATTGAGATGCACAAGTAACCGCACTATGAATGCATTAGGGTGTTGCAATGCCATCAATATTGTATGACACACAATGCACTAAGGCAATACCCTGTGCTGCAGCACATCACAACACACTACTGGGAGTTTGGGCTGCACTGGGGTGCATTGGCAGACCATTTTAAAGTGAAAGGGTTGCCTTAATTCAACACACACATTAAACACATGAGATAACGTACTGTGACAGTGTAAAACCCAGCCTTAGAGGTGTAGCTTTTAAGGCGGTCCATCCTCATCCCTGGCTTCAATACCTAGCAAGTTACTATCCGGGATAAAAGCATATAGTCATTGAAAGCTGAAAATGTAAAAATGTCGTTCTGCACATTTTTTCAGTGACTCTGAAGAAAGCACCAGGATTGCACAGTCCCAAAGCATAACACAACTCAACAATGCCGACTAGCAGATTTCTATTTTCATGAGTGAAGAGTGAAGTAAGAAAAAAAAAAAACCTTCACTAGTCCCCAATGAGCTAGGAAGAAATCTAGTTGTGTGCTAGGGTTACTGCGCTTTGCACTCTTTTAGTGAATAAGCTCACACCATCCAGCAGTTCTTAGTAAAGCGGGTATGTAATAAGCCACTAAAGACAAAGAAAAGGATTCTGGGTAATGCCATTCACTGCAGCGCAGCTGCTACGTGATTTCTATACAGAGATCTCCAGCAGGGAGCTGAGAATCGTAGAGACCAGCAACTCACACATGAATCCTGATGCTCCCGGAAACAGAAATGTTAAATCCCTATTTTTTTTCCACTGCCTCCCACAGAGCATAACATTCTTTAGAGAACATTAAACATCTGACAATGAATTTATCGGCAACAAGAAAATCTGAAAAGGATGCTGAACATAAACTGATTAGGACAAGCATCAAGATCTACCCAGAAAATATTAGGAAACTTTTTCTCATTGTCTGACTCCCTGTTTTGGAGGGGGGGGGGGGGGGGGACATTTCAGAGAATAAAGGCACAGTTGCTAAATAGATAGCACTACCCTGGCAGCACAATCCCAAGCATGGCAATATCTGATTGTAATTTGCAAGTTCTCCCTGTCCCTGTGTGGGTTTCTTCTGGGCACTCAGGCTTCCTCCCACACTCCAAAGACATGCTGGTAGGTAAATTGGCCCTAGTAAGTGTATGTATGATTAGATTCTAAGCTCACTGAGGGCAGGGACTGATGTGAATGTACAATATGTACTGTATGTAAAGCGCTACATAAATTGTTAGCGCTACATAAATACCTGTAATAAATAAATAAGGCAGGCAGTGGGTCAACACCTACAGGGTATATTATGGTCTCTGTAGTTAGTTTCATACAGAACACATTTCTATTCAACAGACACATGGCTCACAGAGTTCTGCATTCAGACTAGTTGCCCCAGAAATGTTGCAACTACAGCAAAAACAGCTTTTCATCATATATATGATTTAATTTATATCATCCATGTGGAATTCAATGCTGTATTGAACCTAAAGCCTGGCACATTTGTACCAAAATTCGGTCAGTTCATTATGAGCCGAATTTCGTTACATGTGTACTGCTGTCTGTTCAACAGGCTCCTGTGGAAGGCCTGGGGTTTGGGAAAGTCCCCCCCGTCCGAATACAATAGAACAACAGGAGAGATCCCTGCATCATCATCGTTTGTGTTGATACAGGGCATTGGGCAGCTTTTTTCGTTCAACCCGCTTAACTTTTTTTCAGGCCGGGTTCACAACACCTATGCAGTTTGCTTTTGATCAGTTTCTGCAGCGCTTTTTTGCGGTGCATTTTTCTTTTTGCACACTTTTTTTTGTGACTTTTGTGTTATTTATGCTTTTTTGTTGCCCCATCTGTTGTTGGGCAAATTAAAAACCTGTCACAAAAGCACTACATGCTTTTTCAGCATCTCCACTGAAGTCTACTGAACCAAAAACAAATTGTTTTGCGTTTAAAAAAAGTCCCTGACCCTTTCCAAAAACGCAGCGGGTGAAAAAAGTATAGATGTGAACGTGTCCCATAGGAAACTATGTTAAATGGACTGTAGTGTGTTTATGCTAAAAGCACCAAAAATGCTTAAGTGTGAACTAGGTGTTAAAAAGGATCATTAAAAATATCTAGAATTCAGATAGTTAAACTTGTTATAATTAGGGATTACAGGTCTGTAATACAGCGAGGGCCACGCTGAGATTCTCTGGCTTAGCAGGACTGTGTCCCTGATTTGGGCATCAATTACTTTGACCACACACCAAGGTGTCAGAATGGGTCATCTGGGTGTGTGGTCATAGTATTAGTTTGGGTCACAAGGACAGAACAGTAGTATATTTACCTATTACATAAACTGTTTTTGAATATGTCCCACCAGGGGAAACACAAAAAAATACCTTCTAAAAAGTGAAGGGCAAAACATTTCCACTGTGAGAAGTGATGCTAATAATCCCTTCCATACAAAGAACTCAGCATTCACTTACTCTGGGCAACACCATTGCGCCATAATGACATGTACATACATATCTGATCCCTCTGGAATAAATCCAGCTACGGCCGGCCAGAGGCCCTGAAGTTCAGTCACACTCTATGTGGCTGTGGCTGCCTAAAATGAATTCCTTTCTTCTGCTGATCATAGTTGTATTATACAATTCTCTACAGATTGGATACTCCCATATACTGTATATCAGAAGAATTACAAATCTTGTAATGCTGATCTGTAAAGTAATTTGTTCATCTCTACTAAATAAGAGATGGCAGCACAATGGCTTAGTGATTAGCACTTCTGTCTTGCAGCACTGGAGCCACCTATTCAAATTTCCATTTAGGATGCTGTCTGCATGAAGTTTGAATGTTTTACCTGTGCATTTGTGGCTTTCCTCCCACACTTTAAACACATGCTGGTAGGTTAATTGGCCTTAGCATGTATGTGCGTGTATGTATGTAAGATAGGGACCTTAGACTGTAAGCTTCTTGACAGTAAGGACCTGTAATAATAATAATGACATTGAAATAAGCCAGATATGCCATCAGGGGTTAACATTTCACAAGGTAAGAACGTTCGTTGCGAAGCATATTGCTCTATGATGGCACTATCCCAAACAGTGACTGCCTGTGGTGTCCTTATGTAGCAGCACAGCAAGTCAGCTGCTTGTAGGGAACTGTTCCCTCAAGCAAATAACTTTATCTCAGTGATTTTCACTTCAGAAGACTCTTAAAACTTCTACCTATCGTAATTCTTTGCTCCATAAGACGCACCTAGGATTTAGAGGAGGAAAGAAAGAAAAAAAATATTCTGAACCAATGGACTTCAGACATAGTACAGGAGATGACCAGAGACTGCAGACACAGTACAGGAGATGACCAGAGACTGCGGACACAGTACAGGAGATGACCAGAGATTGCGGAAATAGTACAGGAGATGCCCAGAGACTGCGGACAAAGTACAGGAGATGCCCAGAGACTGCGGACACAGTACAGGAGATGCCCAGAGACTGCGGACACAGTACAGGAGATGCCCAGAGACTGCGGACACAGTACAGGAGATGCCCAGAGACTGCAGACACAGTACAGGCGATGACCAGAGACTGCGGACACAGTACAGGCGATGACCAGAGACTGCAGACATAGTACAGGAGATGACCAGAGACTGCGGACATAGTACAGATGACCAGAGACTGCGGACATACTACAGATGACCAGAGACTGCGGACATAGTACAGGGGATGACCAGAGATTGCGGAAATAGTACAGGAGATGCCCAGAGACTGCGGACAAAGTACAGGAGATGCCCAGAGACTGCGGACACAGTACAGGAGATGCCCAGAGACTGCGGACACAGTACAGGCGATGACCAGAGACTGCAGACATAGTACAGGAGATGACCAGAGACTGTGGACATAGTACAGATGACCAGAGACTGCAGACATACTACAGATGACCAGAGACTGCGGACATAGTACAGGGGATGACCAGAGACTGTGGACACAGTACAGGAGATGACCAGAGACTGCGGACATAGTACAGGAGATGCCCAGAGATTGCGGACACAGAACAGGAGATGCCCAGAGACTGCGGACACAGTACAGGCGATGACCAGAGACTGTGGACATAGTACAGATGACCAGAGACTGTGGACATAGTACAGATGACCAGAGACTGCAGACATACTACAGATGACCAGAGACTGCGGACACAGTACAGGAGATCTGTGTTCAATAGTGAAATAGGTCTATAGCTGGAGCACTGAGATGGGTCTTTTCCCTCCTTATGGATAAGTACTACATGGGCCTGTAAAGATTCTCTCCTCACTTCCATCCCACCTCCCAGAGCATTCATATACTTTTCCAGTTTGGGTAGCAGCACTTCACTAAATTTCTTATAGTATTTAACTGTATAGCCATCCGGGCCTGGGCTTTTTCCCCCCCTGTGCTTCTTAATGCTGTTTTAATTTCTTCCTGGGTAATTTCCACATCCAAGGAGTTCAACTGTGCTTCACTTAGTTTTGGTAATCCCGCGTTTTTTTAAATATATCATCTTTTTTTCTTTGATTCCCTCTTGAGCTTCTTTTAGAGGACCTTGGGGACTAATATTATATAACTTTCTGTAATACTCCGTAAACACTTTAATAATCTCTTTAGTTGAGTGGACCAACTCCCCCTTAGGATTTTTTATCTTTTCTATATAATTCCTATTTTTCTTTTTCTTCAAGGCTCTCATTAGGTATTTTCCTGGTCTATCTCCCATCTATATCTCTCGTTTAATACCCTGTTGTATACTCTTCTCCTCTCTTCTTCCATCAACCTCTCTAGCTCATCTTTTTTATCCGATAACTTCTGTCTCGTATCTTTTGTTATTTTCTTCTTGTGGATCTGCTCCAAGTCCAGTATTTCTTTTAGAAGCCCACTGACCCTCTCTCTTCTTTCCTTTTTCTTCCTTGCTCCTGCCGCGATCAAGATTCCTCTTATAAATACCTTATGACTTTCCCAAACTGTAGCTATCGACACCTCCTCTGTTTCGTTCTCCTGAAAATACACTCTCTCTTTCTCGATTTTCTGCACTAAATCCTCATCCAGAAGAAGAGCCTCATTTAACCACCACCCTAATCCTCCAGTCCACCTTCTTCCCCATCCCATTTTCATTACGACCGGGGCGTGATCCGAGAGAACGTTCTTGTCTCTATGTCAATTTTAACCAGATGATCTATAAGTTGATGGTCTATTAAGATGTAATCTAATCTCGAGTATATCTCATGTGCATTAGAGAAGAAGGTATAGTCTCTGTCTTTCATATGCATTATTCTCCAGATGTCCACTAGTTGATATTCATGCATCACTTTCTTCAAAGCTCTCAGAGACCTACTCCCCTCTCTTTGCACAGAAGAGGTGTTATCCTTTTGTGGGTCCATACAGAAATTTAGGTCTCCTGCAACTATCAAACGCCCTTTTTTAAATTCCATCAATTTTTTCATCAGACCCCTCATATACATCTCCGGGTTTTTATTAGGGCAGTATATATTGGCTAAAGTACACTCAATCCCCTGCAGCCTACCATTTAAGAATAAAAACTTCCCCTCCGGATCGGTTCTTCTATCCTCCAGCTCAAATCTCATATTCTTTGCCAAACCTATTGCCACCCCTTTTGCTCTTTTAATTGGAGAGTCTGCATAATACCATATTGGGTAGTGTTTGGATTTCAGTTTCACATTTGCCTCTATCTCAAAGTGCGTCTCCTGTAAAAATACCACTGACGTTGCCCTATGATGCAACTCCTTAAACAACCTCAATCTCTTCCCTGGACAACTCAACCCGTTCACATTATAGGTTATAAACTGTATTTCTTCCATCCTTCCCAATTCGCTCCATCTCTCTTCCAATTTACCTCTTCCTCTTTATCCCTACTGTCATGCAGAGTATTAACCCAATACCTCCTCCCCTCCCTCCTTCCAACCCAACTCCCATCCCCCCCCTCCCCCCATCCCTCATTCTTTTTTTCCTCCCTACCCATTTTTAGGCTTAAAAACTGCCTATAAATCATTTGTGGATCTATTTCCACCACTGATTAAATGCTTTGGGATTAAGCTCCACCCATGGCCGGCTACCCTCTCCTTCGACCTCCCCAGTTCCCCTCTCTCTATCCACAGGAGAAATACAAAGATCTTTACTTTCCCCCTCAACCGAAGCTTCCGAGGGTTACCATTTCAACATATGTGGGGCCCAGGGGGGAGAGAGATACAAGAGAGAGAGAAGAAAAAAAAAAAAAATATATATATTCCTCTCAATTTTCCCTCCCATCTCTTCTTTTTTTTCCAAGCCCTCTGTTGTTAGGTGGCTACCGCTACTATTCATACCCATTGATAATCTAGGACTGTTTCCCAGAGACATGTCCATATCCCCTTTTGCGTTTGCACCTTGGGCCCTTTCTGGCGTAATATTTCTTTGCGATGTAAATTTCTTTATCGTATCTATTTGAGACCCTTTGGGCCCTGTTCCCTTAGGACCTTTGTTCTTCATTTCCTCTAAAACTCTGATTTCTTCTCTTATTCTCTATATGAAGTTGTATCAGTCCTTTAATTTGTACACGAGACAGTACCTGCTAATATCCCCTGTATTTTTACTCTCCTGGGACACCTGGAGCTCTTCTCATTTTCTCTTTCTTGGCCCAGGGAATCCTCCCCTCCTCTCCTTCACCCCTAGATTTCCCATATCACTCGGGGTTCCCCCACACGATAAGCCCCCAATAGCTCTCACTCACCCTTCTTCTTCTCCCAGCAGAGACTCTGAGCTTGAGGTGTGGGGCCTTCACAGCAATTCAGTCCAAGGGGGGATTCCTCTGGGTTTCACTCCTCTCCTCGTGCCCTTCATCCAGATTTTTCACCAGATAGCAGGGTGAATCCCTTCTCTCTATTGGGTCACTCAGACCCAGAATCGATCAGTTGGCCGTGGGGATTAAACACATGAGAGCCGGCGGCTCCCTCTTGCATCGGGAAGCCGGACGGTTTCTTCCTCTCCCAGAGAGCCTCCGGGGCCGGTCACGTGCTCCCACCACGTCACCTCGCCCCTCAGCCTCCTGGGTCTCTCCTCCGTAAGGCGCCGGGCGGACCAGCGCTTCACTGCCACCTCCGCCCTGGTCTCATCTCCGGCTTTCCTCCTCTCCTGTACCGATCGACAGACTCCGGTGAGTCAATTCCCCATATCCTACTCCAGGTGGTCACTGGGGAGGTCGAATAGCGGCGCTTAGCAGGGAGCTATTGCCACACGCTCCCCACAGCCGCCATGTTCAGGCTCCTCCCACAAGAATCCACCGACACAGTACAGGAGATGCCCAGAGACTGCGGACATAGTACAGGAGATGACCAGAGACTGCGGACACAGTACAGGAGATGACCAGAGACTGCGGACACAGTACAGGAGATGACCAGAGACTGCGGACACAGTACAGGAGATGACCAGAGACTGCGGACACAGTACAGGAGATGACCAGAGACTGCGGACACAGTACAGGACTGCGGGACACAGTACAGGAGATGACCAGAGACTGCGGTACAGGAGATGACAGAGACTGCGGACACAGTACAGGAGATGACCAGAGACTGCGGACACAGTACAGTAGATGACCAGAGACTGCAGACACAGTACAGGAGATGACCAGAGATTGCGGAAATAGTACAGGAGATGCCCAGAGACTGGGGACACAGTACAGGATGCCCAGAGATGCGGACACAGTACAGAGATGCCTGCGGACACAGTACAGGAGATGCCAGAGACTGCGGACACAGTACAGAGATGCCCAGAGACTGCGGACACAGTACAGGAGACCAGAGACTGCGGACACAGTACAGGAAATGCCCAGAGACTGCGGACACAGTACAGGAGATGCCCAGAGACTGCGGACACAGTACAGGAGATGCCAGAGACTGCGGACACAGTACAGGCGATGACCAGAGACTGCGGACATACACAGTACAGGACTGCGGATGACAGATGAGAGACTGCGGACATACTACAGATACCAGGACTACAGACATGTACAGGGGATGACCAGAGACTGCGGACACAGTACAGGAGATGACCAGAGACTGCGGACATAGTACAGTAGATGCCCAGAGATTGCGGACACAGAACAGGAGATGCCCAGAGACTGCGGACACAGTACAGGCGATGACCAGAGACTGCAGACATAGTACAGGAGATGACCAGAGACTGTGGACATAGTACAGATGACCAGAGACTGCGGACATACTACAGATGACCAGAGACTGCGGACATAGTACAGGGGATGACAGAGACTGCGGACACAGTACAGGAGATGCCCAGAGACTGCGAACATAGTACAGGAGATGCCCAGAGACTGCGGACACAGTACAGGAGATGCCCAGAGACTGCGGACACAGTACAGGAGATGACCAGAGACTGCGGACACAGTACAGGAGATGACCAGAGACTGCGGACACAGTACAGGAGATGACCAGAGACTGCGGACACGGTACAGGAGATGACCAGAGACTGCGGACACGGTACAGGAGATGACCAGAGACTGCGGACACAGTACAGGAGATGACCAGAGACTGCGGACATAGTACAGGAGATGCCCAGAGACTGCGGACACAGTACAGGCGATGACCAGAGACTGCGGACATAGTACAGGAGATGACCAGAGACTGCGGACACAGTACAGGGGATGACCAGAGACTGCAGACATACTACAGATGACCAGAGACTGCGGACCTTTGGGGAGTGGGAGAGGGGGGAGCGGGGGAGGGGGGAGGAGGGAGAAGGTACCCGAATTTGACAGGTACTGTGGAGTTGTCCTTCCCTCTCCCTCCCCATAGTCTTCTGGGACACGTGACAGGTTCCAGAAGACTACGGGGCCATTCAGAAAGTGCAGCGCTTCTTGCGCATGCACAGTGGGCACCCGGCTGTGAAGCCGGGTGCCCACACTAAAGATGCCAGCGACAGGGAGAGAAGACGGTGAGGACAGTGCTGGACCGAGGAATAGGTAGGACCTCTGGAGGTCTGCAGGTTCTGCTTCAAAAAGCCGAGCGGCAGGCCCGGTGTTCTAACAAGGTGGCGGCTGCGATGGGGGGAATACCGGGCTGGCCACTACATAAGACGCACAGACATTTTCGCCCATTTTTTGGGGGGTAAAAAGTACATCTTATGGAGCTAAAAATACAGTAGTTATAAAGGGTATGTAAAAGCAAAATTTTTTTTTTTTAAATTCTAAATAGAGTTGGGAAGAGTAATGAGGCCCTACCTAATCTATCCATCAAATTTGTATACAGTCAGAGAGGCCCTTATACTACAGTGTTGTTTATAGATCCAAACGAGATTGTGCTATCAGACTGTAACGTCTGTGGTGAGCCTAAAGCTGGCTATATACTATACAACCAGATTGTACAATCTTTCATAAATCTCAAACTATGCCTTATAACAAAGCCTAAAAATCCATTCAAGTGGTATCCAATCAGTCAGGCCCTTGCACTACACAGTTGACGGTAGAGCTAAGGCTGGGTATACACTATAAAATTGAAATAAAAAGAAGGAGCGACTGGTCGATTATCTGTTTGTTAGTATAGTGCTTTCCACAGCCGATTTAGACTGTTCTGACAAAAAAAAAATGAAGGTGCAAGCTAGAAAATGTTTATCATACGTAAACACAACGTCGAATTTTCGCTCATTGTGTACAATAATTGTATGGAAATAGTCAAACAGAAAAAAATGAGCATGATCAGAAGCAAAAATCCACCTGGAAGAAGGTGGCAACAAACATAGAAAACGTACACAAGAAAGAATGTTTTCCTTTGTTGTTTGAGAATTTTCGTACAAGCCAATACCATTGTTGGTTATATCATGATGCCTACCTTCGTAGAAAATCGGACAATCGTTCATCCACTTTTCTCATACTGTGTACTCCACTTAAAGGAGATTGTACAATCAGATTGAGAAGTGTATAGCCAGCTTAAGTTGGAAATTCTTTTCACTTTGAGAGAGATTTTGAGTCTTTTCACACAGGCCGCTCTGTTCCATTCAGCAGGGAATCAATGAGCAGATGCCCTGCTGAATCAGAGCTGAACAGGATAGGATTCGCATTTTGACTTTGATTTGTGGCAGACTTGTGATGGCTCTATGGCAGGGGTGGGCAACTGTGGCCCTCCAGCTGTTGTAGAACTACAAGTCCCATGAGGCATTGCAAAACTGACAGTTACAAGCATGACTCCCAAAGGCAGAGGCATGATGGGACTTGTAGTTCACCAACAGCTGGAGGGCCACAGTTGCCCACCCCTGCTCTATGGGCTACTGGATGTAAGCTAACTTTTTTTTTTTTTTTTGTCTTTTGTTATCTTTTATCATGTTACCTCATTTGTCCCAATTAGGTCTGGAAAAACTGAAAAGGGTTGTAGGCGTATGTGAACTGACAGGCGGACCTGATCGGAAAGCCTTTATAAGGACTGTTTCAGACAGGCGACAAAGCCTGTCCTCCATGCAGAGCTGCTGACAGATGCATGTGCATCCACCTCGGGGCTACATGCAGGTAGCCCATAGCGGTGGATGCCCATGCAGCGCCGGCACTGACACAATCGCATGTCACAGTTTGAATGGATCTGAATGCAGAGTCTCTTAGAACACCCTCATAACCACTCCTACGGTCTGCCTGCAAGCAACTCCTAGGTGGATGCACATGCATCTGCCAGCAGCTTTTATAGAGGACAAGCTTAATTGCCCACCTTAATTATCCCTAAAAGGGCCCTTCTTGTTGTTTATCCAGGATACAAAGTGAAGGGAAATCTTCCCTGCTAACTACAGACAGCAAAAAAATTACTTACTTGATTTAAAACTAAAAACGTTTGGGCTTTACACTTTTACACATTGTGGCACTTTTCCTAAACTGTTCCTTTAAATAATTCTTTATAAATGAGGAATAATAATTTCAGTGAGTATCAATGAATAACATCAGTGAAATTTTTCTTCCACAACACATACATCAACTTAGGCTGGCCATACATTATACAATTATCTGCAGATTTTTGGTTTAGATTTACCAAAAACCATATAATAGGAGGACAAACCTAAACAACACTTTCAGTTGTATCCAATTAGGCAGGCCCTTGCACTACATAGTTGAAGGTAAATCTAAAGGAAATTGGGCAGAAAATCTGCAGATAATTGTATAATGTATGGCCAGCCTTAAAGATGACAATTTATTACTTACCATATCTTACTATCATTTCTAGTCTAATAAAACAAGCGCATTCTGTACAATATATTTCTATTTGTATTATATTTATAATGTAAAAGGAAAACTGCTCCCATTGTCCTCACTGCCGGTTTGCTTTGAATAATTCACAAGATTCCGGCCAGCTTTAAATAGCAAATACAAATCATTACGCATCTTTAGTGTACATTCAAAATTTGAAAAATTGTCTCAACAAACTGAGCTGTTATGGAGGTTACAAGCAAAGAACAGTTGTGTGTTATACAAAGCAGCTTCTGTAAAACCCCATTTTAAATTGCTCCTCATTTCTGGCCATTTTCTGCAAGCTCACTGCTGGCAGTGATACAATGTAAAGTACAATTAATGGTGGAGCGCAAATCCTCTGCTAAAATTATGGTAACAATGTGTAAGATAAATACCACAACCTAGTGATGCAAATAACCATAAAAATACATTCAAAATAAAAAATGTATCACAAGCTGTCCAATTCAGCAAAAAAAAGTATGACTGAGGTGTATTAAGACCATAACCCAGTGCTGTAAATCTCCAATACTGCTAAATAATGTAGTGTGTAACACAAATATTGTGCAGATATACTTACGTATTAGTGAATAATTACCACATTTTGTTTCTCAATGAAACAATACAGGTGCATCTCAATAAATTAGAATATCATCAAAAAGTTAATTTATTTCAGTAATTCAGTGTAAGCCCCTGTCCACAGAAAACCTATTACAGCGGTCTACATGCCTAGAGAGAGCAGTATCCAGCACCTGGGGATCTAAAAGATAACGTGTACTTGGTCTATATTGAAGATTGATCCAATAATATTTATTTACGCACACACCTATACTAATTTTGTGGACATTTATTTTACATATACGGATATTTTATGCACTATTAATTTATCATTACACTTGGGTTATATGAGCAGCACGGATAGGATAGCCTCTATTAGCAGCCATTATGTGTTTTTATTCTATATATTGTATCATTGAGAAATGAAGTGTGGTAATTATTCACCTCAGTCATCATGTTCTTGCTGAGTTGGATAGCTTGTGATACATTTTTTATTTTAATTTTACGTCTATTTTTAATTTTGTAGTTATTTGCAGCACTAGGTTGTGGTATTTATCCTACACATTGTTAACATAATTTTAACAGAGGATTTGTGCTGTGCCATTCATTGTATTTTACAGCTTACCCTATGGTGTTTCACACAGTTAGGTGTTAGCAGCAATCCCTACTCTTGAATAATACAATTGGCATTAGTTAATTTATTTGTATAATGAGTGATACAATGTAAGTGAGGCTTAGTGAAACAAGGAGGATAAAAGTCAGGAGTAGGAACCTATCAATGACTAGAAATTATTTTTTCTCTGCTTACATGCTACAGGTACATTCTGTGTTTGTCTCTGTACACTGCAGATCAGTATACCGCAACATATAGTAGAAGTGTTTTATTTATTCCCTTTAACAATTCTCGTTCTTGGCATTATATTGACATTTAATCAGCTCACAATAAACATGTTTTGCTTAACATATCCCCTCAAATTACTCAAGCAAAATATTTCTCATCAGGAGAAAAAGATATATTAAGTAGTATCATGCGGCATTAGTGACGGCTTCACAGCAGCAGAGAGAGAGCTGAGGGGCCTTTCCATTTTTCTAGAGTGGAATGATTTGTCTGTTAACTTTTTGTGAATCTCTTGAATTGAAGAGCGCCGTTATCTGTGACTGATTCAATCTGTGTCACATCTGATAAGAGGCCAAGCGCGGCGACTGGAAATTGCCCTGTCACATCTTCCCTGTGTTTTCATAATGCAGCACATGGAAAAGCGGCATAGTGATCATAGATTCCTATTCCCAGCACGTCCCCCAATGTGCCACAATAATGAATTTAGTGGTGAGTGTCAGAGATTTATCATTTCCAAACCCTTAAAGGATAGCCAATCCTACTCCTGAGCAAGGAAAGTTTACTGGACAGCACAATATGGCACATCATATTACTACTGTCTACAAATCAGGGCTATAGGTGTTGGGGAAAAGCCACCAAATGTGAATATGGAAATGTAATAGACCTTTCCAGCAGTGAGATCTCTGTACACCCCCATCTCTCTTGACTCTGCAAACTTGCCACAGCAATGGGGAGTTCACTGTCCTTGCTGCTGAATTTTTCATTTACTAAGGAGAATGAAAGGAGGAGCATCAATGACCCAAAGTAGGACAGAACTTTGCCAAGAACTATGTTCAGGAAATATCACACCTACAGGCAAGAACACATTCCACATTTGGATGAATTGACCCTTTCATTCTTGCAGGTACTGGCAATCGAAGGAGGACTATTTATAATGTTATCATATCATATCATTAAAAGGTTTTAAAGTGGAAAATGAAGTCCTTCTAGATCACTTCAGGCTGGTCCCTTTTGTAGATATAGCGATGTAAAACTTTAAAAATAAGTGCCCATACTGTTTAAAATCCAGAAATACACTGTCTCACCCTGCTGTGCACATGCTCAGTTGCTCTCTATTTTTAGGCACTGTGCCGAATTTGTAGAGGCCGATCTGCTGACAGCCTAAAGATGTATTGCTGCGCAGGAACTCTGGGCTTCAGCAAAAATGAAAGCTTTCAGGAAAAAGAAATAGGAACAATACTGATGGCAATTTAAAGCACACACTAATTTTGGTAGCATAATAAATAAAGTGGAATGTATGTTTCTTGCTAAAGAACATTATTTTTCTCAAGTTGTTATGGTAAAGTTCCACTTTAAGAAATTTTCAAGACAGAAGGTGGGAAAAAATAATGTTTTA